GGAATGCCGCGCCCCCCACTTCTCCCTTGCCTGGAGGGCTCATTTCCTGTGTGTTGAGAGGGGACACACGGCATGAAGCAGCTTGTACGATGCGCTGGCCCTAGCCATGAGCATGGCCAGGCCTGTCCATGTGGGTCATTGTTACCCTGTAGATGCAGTTTGGAAAGGGGTTGGGATGGTTCTTTGGAATTTAACCTTTCAACCAAACATTTTGGGAACCCATTTTTCAGAACTTGACATGATGACTTGTAGTGGCCTTCATTTTAGAAAGCCTTTCTTATTTATCAGGATCTCTGATTTTAATATGGCGTTCCTATAGAGGAAGAACAAATGGCATTGCTAATTCCGTCTCTGGTCACTGGTGGCTCTCAGACCTCAGCTTAGGCACTGGGGACACATTGCCTGGGACCAGTTACTGGCTCTGTCACTCTGTAACTCTAGAGAGGTTCCTTCCTTAGCTTCTCCATCTTCTCATCTGTAGAATGAAGGTTCAAATGGTACCCACCCAGTAGGGCTGTTGTGAGCATGAAATGAGCAAATCCATGTTCTCCCCGACACATGGTTGTCTAGTGAGTTACTTGGTGTTAACTGGTGACAAGGATGCTGGGCTGCCTGGCTGAAGGGTCTGGGGGCTTAGTACCTCCTGTCATGGTGTTGCTTTCTCGTTTTCATCCCTTGGCTTCACTCTGCTGAGTTGCTGCTCAGTGCCCAGGCCTGTGTCAGAGCGTTCAGAGTCCCACAGGCTCTGTCTGGAGCTTGCCACTGGGACAGGACGGAGTGAGTTGGGAGTAGGGGTGTGACCCGTAGAGCGCTATTCTCAGAACCCTTTTGCTCCTCCCCTTTTGGGATGAGGCCCACCTAACTCATGGTTCTGGACTTTCTGGGGACTGTATACTTTTTTTTAGTATAAGTATATCCCATATATTGCAGGAGATATACTAAAAAGTTATTCATTGGGACTTTCTTGGCGTTCCAGTGGTTAAGAATCTGCACTTCCACTGCAGGGAGCATGGGTTTGATCCCTGGTCAGGGGAACTAAGATCCCGTATGCCACATGGTGCAGCCAAAAAAATTTTTTTTGAAGTTGTTCATTGTTTATTTGAAATTCATGTTTTATCCTTTGTCCTGTATTTTTCACTTGCTAAATCTGGCAGCCTTAGCCTGGCTGCGCATGGCAAGGGTGGAAGTATAAAGATGAGGAAGCCAGGCTGGCTCGCGGTAAGAGTGAATTGGCCTTTGCCAGGGCCTCCACCACATTTGCACTTTTGCAGGGCAGAAGTGGCACAGGCGGAGGGACACTCATTTGAGAAGGACAAGGTCCCTTCCTTCTAGGAGTCTGTATCTAGTGGGGAAATAGACTTTTAAGCAATTTAGTCCACTATAGATGAAGTAAATACTAGATTGAGGTACAAGTAACATGCCAGGGGATGAAGAGGAAGGAAAGAGCATCCTTCTTGGGAGGGGGCAACTAAGAAGATGCCCATATATTTTTTAAATTAATTAATTTTTATTTATTTTTGGCTGCACTGGATCTTTGTTACTGCACACGGGCTTTCTCTAGTTGCAGCGAGCGGGGGCTACTCTTCATTGCGGTGCGCGGGCTTCTCATTGCGGTGGCTTCTCGTTGCGGAGCACGGGCTCTAGGCACACGGGCTCAGTAGTTGTGGCACGCGGGCTCTAGAGCACAGGCTCAGTAGTTGTGAGGCACGGGCTTAGTTGCTCCGCGGCATGTGGGATCTTCCCGGACCAGGGCTCCAACCTGTGTCCCCTGCCTTGGCAGGTGTATTCTTAACCACTGCACCACCAGGGAAGCCCTGCCCATATGGTTTTGATTGGTGACAGTGGCCTAGAGTGATATAGCCACCACCCCGACTCCAGTTTGAGGGGATTTGGTTGCTTTTAGAGATTTATAGTTATCGGGGTAAAGTATGTCCCTAACTTATTTCTTAGTTTGTTCATTCATTTATGCGTACTTGTCTGCCTGCTCTCCATCTGTCCATCCATCTGTCCATCTGCCCATCTATCCATCCATATATCCATCTATCCCAATCTATCCAGTCTTAAGTGCCGGCCTTCTGTGTCCCAGGAAGGATGCCAGGCTCTGGGTGGGGATTTATTGGTGAGCAAAAGCAGATCTGGTTACTGCTTTTATGGGACTTACAGCTTAATGAGGAAAGACAGATTTTAGTTTAAAAATGTATATACATATTATTTTATATGATTCCAAATGCTACAGAGAGAAGCACCACAGACATATTTTAGGGAAACCTTATACTCTGGTATCAGAGCAGACTTCCCTGAAGAAGTAAGTTTATCTGACAGACCAATGAGGTATTTTCTTTTATTTTGGGGGCTCAGGGTTTCTTTTGTGCATCTTTCCAGACAAGCATGAGTGTACATATACAATTCTAATAACCCGCTTGGTCATTCACAGCCCCCTGAAATCCTTCCAAGGGCCCTAGGATAAGACCCTCTACTCTGCCCAAAACCTCCTTCTCTTCCCATGTTTCTTCCTTGAGGCTTCAGCCCCAGTGGTTCTGCCACCTTCTCACTCAAGGGGCTGTGAACCCAGCCCCTCTTCCCACCCACTGGGAAGCACCAAGTATGGAACCTTTAGACTTGTGCTGTCCAGTGCAGTAAGCCACCAGCCACATGCAGCTAGTTACATTTAAATTTAAGTTAATTTAAAAACTTAAAGATCAAATTTTAAAACTTCAATTAATTTTTTAAAAATGAAATGAAATTTAGTTTCTTCATCATACTTGCTGCATTGCAAGTGCCCAAGAGCCGCAGTGGCTAATGGCTACATACCGACCAGATACAGAACATTTCTACCATCACAGGAAGTTCTATTGGACTGTGCTGCCTCTGACCATCGGGGACACACAGCAGGCTCGATCTGGCTTTATGCCCACCTAAGTGCGCTCTGCCACCTCCCAGGCCCTCCCCAGTTGACCTCTAACATCTTCCAGGGCCCCTGCGGCAGGAGGGGGACTGTATTCCACCGTGATTTGCCCCATCCATAGAGCAATTCAAATTCAACAGCTCTTCCAAACACCTCTTCTGGAAACCAGGTCAGTTACTAGAAAGGGCTTCTAAGGGCATTTCAGATGTCAAGCTGGGAACAGGGAAAGGAGAGGCTCTAGGTCTCCAAGTGGAAATTGGTTTCTTCTAAAAATAATCCACCACTCAGCCCTATCTGACCAAGAAAGGGACCTGTCCCAGAGGGAGCTGGCAGGGACAAGGCCTGATATTGAGG